CATGGGAATGAGCGCAGTCCAGGCCTAGATTTAGCCCATCCTGGTGTAAACTTGAAAAAAATGTCGGCGAGGCCGCCCACACTTATCCATTGCTACTTCCCGTTTTCAAATTTTGTAGTGCAAACTGACTTGCTAGCTGCTTAAAGCCCGCTATTTGCTGTGACGCCAGCTTTATCTCCAGAACAGTTATCGGGGTAAATTGGTATTTTCCGATCCCCTTGTACTTTTCTGACTAGTATGCGAGGGGGCAGGAAGCCAGTTGTTTTACTTCTTCATGCGCCTGGAGCCCTTTTCTAATACTGCTGTGGCGTGCTGCTGGTGGCTAAAATCGCTTGCAGGATGTTTCCCAACTTGCACGATGCAAAAATGCTCTCCGGAAGGGACAGCGAACTTTCGCCTAGCCTGTGCACTGTAACGAGTTCACAAATTACAGTTTACTTCTCTCCGTAGCCACCTTCAAGATCTTGTTTCAAGGTACGTTGCATTGAAAATTTCAGGGGCCGAGGTAATCGAGGTGATGGGACCGGCATTTGCGGAATCGATCACGGAGGGCGACATCAAATGGATGAAGCGTACGTTTAGATGTTTCTTCTCTTATGTCATCATATCCGTAGTAAAACTGGATTGACTCTGTTTATCGATAAAATTTTGGAATAATAATCATTTGTAGAAAAGTTAACCTAGACTTTCTGCCTGTCTGCCAAATAGAAAAAGCGTTTCGATGAGGATGACACCCGTTTTTATGCGTTTTTGCTGTGCAGCGCTGGAGCGCTGCAAGAGCCAGCAAAAACGCATATTGCGACGACCCCTGTGGGTATGTGTGTCTTCGTTTGCCCGAGTGTTTTTACTCAGCAACCACGCAAGCTTTGACGCTGAGACTTTGTCAGTATGTTCTCTAGCCAATTGTGATACCAATAATATCTGCGTCTCAAATACCGGCATGTAAAAATTCTGGAGGGAAAATTGCTAACTCGAGGACGAGAAAAGCTATAAGCTGAAACTTTGGGGTAATGTTCTGTACTCATATACGACTGAAAGATTTCAAATCCAGCTCCTTAGAGCCGTCCGGACCTCACTTATTGGATACGTGAATTGTTAACTCGGGAAAAGAAAAACTGGAAGGTTGGTATTTTGAAGGAATGCCCCCTACTCATGTACGACTAAAAGATTTCAAATTCAGCTGCTTCGAACCGAGGTCTCACGTACGGGCAAATGAAAATGTTGACGGGAAAGTTGCTAATTCAAGGACCAAAAAAGCTAGAAGGCTGAAACTTTAGGGCAGTGTTCCCTAGTCATTTAATGTTTCAAATTCAACTTTCTAATATGTCCGAGTGTCATGTGGGGGACGTGAAAATTTTGAAGTGGAGTTTAGTAAAACAGGAACCAGAAAACCTAGAAAGTTGGAATTTTGAAGAAATGTTCCTTACTCACGTACGACCAAAAGATTTCTATTTCAACTCCATATTACGCCCGAGTCTCACGTAAGGGCACATGAAAACTTTAGCTTGAAAATTGCTATGTCAAGGGCCAGAAAAGCTAGAAAGCTGAAATTTTAAGGAGGCGTTCCTTGCTTACATGCCGTTTAAAGATTATTTCAAATTCATTTCCACGGGCACGCGGGAATTCGGCGGGAAAAATGCCAAATCGGACAACAGAAAAGCTGGAAAGCTGAGTTCTTCGTCCATGTAAAACGTAAAGATTTCAAACACGGCACTCATGCACGCATGGTGCCCGCGCACGGGCACGTGAAAGTTTTCCCCTTCTTTATCCTGTCCCCAGTTTTTGCTTTTGGGGAAGGGATAGAGGATGGGGAAACTTTGCTGCAGAAAACTCTCTTCAGTACCCCCTGTCGCCCCTCTCCGC